TGCTTGTCTTCCACTCACCCTGCTGACCTTTAAAATGCTGCCACACTCCTCTTACATCTTGTCATATTTAAAAGAAATGATGAGATAATTACGGAGCTCAAGCCCCTGCTGTTCTAGAACAAATCAGCCAGCGCCTACAATTGGTTTTACACATCTAAAGGCATGTTGTGATGACTTCTGATGATGGCTAAGGATGTATCATGACTACAGACGTATCACTTGCTTCAGTTTGATAAAGAGATTGATTAAAACGGGGAAGATAAGGAGAGAAATATGAGATAAATCAAATAATTACATTCACGAACGGCAGCAGCTATTTCAAAAGCAGTCATTCTTTAAGGAAGACTGTAATAAATTAGGTCATGTATTTCTATTATGATTTTTTTAAAACTCTTTCAATGTTAAATATAGCTTAGCTCTGAGAACTTAAATAATTTATAGCTGTTCTATTGCATTCTGAAGTCAAATTATTCATTAGGTAGAGTCTTTAAGATTAGAGCTACAAATTAATGATCTTTTTCAAGTTATCCCTTTGATTCTATTTCTGAGAGCAATAGTGTAGCATAGTAAATCGGCCATAAAGGGTGGAGTTAAGATATCTGAATGATACATTTCTAAAGGAGTCTAATAGCCTGAATCATCCTTTGTTTTAAGGTCTTTGGTCTACCTAATACGAGGATAAAACTGGGAAATAAGACTGTTTGATGGGACCAGTAACTCTCTCCAGTAGACAAGCAGTCCCATATCCATAAAATCACAAACTCCACTCAGTAGGAAATAGGCAAGAATTTTCAAGGAATCATTTCTGATCAAATAAACAAGCAACTGTAGTGTTAAAGGGCAAACAAACATGGTGGCCTGAATAGAAAGAAATAGGAAAATAGTTGCCTTAGTCATAAATGCCATTGCTTCATGAGTCATGATTCTTTTAGAATGGAAAGTCTCATGATTCATGGATTTAAGTTTGAAAAATAAAATACTTCCTACCCTTGAAGGTATGATGACAAATAACACTAGTTCTTTTTTCATAGTCATGTTTTACCAGATGTCTTTACAAATATCAATTTACAGACGTTCATAACACTATTCGTATGCATGCAAGAAAAAAGTAATCTGTGGACACAAACTATTTTCAGTCTTTTTCACCATTATTCTACAATGGGAAAAAAGAAGATGTACAATTTCTGTACATCTTAAGTTTTTCTTGCATTAATATTGGTAAATAATAGCACACTAGTTAAATCCTGTACATTTTCAGGGTTAAACCATGGTGATAAATGAGCATTTGGTTAATTACATACATTTAATTGAGAAACATTTATTTATTACATAGAATCAGAACACACAATGTACTATACAAGTACAAATACTACACAAGTACTAAATTGTAATTATTTGTTTTCAATTTTGCAGTAATTTAGTCAACAATGTCATTAAATTTAGTGTTGTGGAGTGATGTGTGTGTGTTTGTATTAAAGAGAATTTATGTGCAGCCTTTGTTTAAATACTTTTATAAAAACAAAAATGACCCATAAGACAATCTTATTACCCTAGTGGTATATAGCCCACATGAAAATATAAACAGAAATAAAGTATCACTTTTTCTAATCAATTTAGGAAAAGTCCTAATATTTCAAGTCGGAAAAAGATTGTTTAGGTTATTTTTCTACAGCTGAACATAGTAATAGATCATGTTTGACCCGCAAGACAACACAAGGGTTAAATTAACAGATTATCTTATTATTTCATGCACACTTGCACATTTCTTGTTCATCAGATGTGGAGATCACATATTTCTTTGCTGGCTAAATTATTTGAATAACAAACTGTTCCTAATATTAGCACCACTCGTAGAAAAACTGCGCTGGCTCACAGGAAACACGTTTTTGCTCAATTGAATGGAAGAACTGTGGAAGAATGCAACTGAAATGTTCTATTCTTGGCACTTTGCTCTGTGCGTCACTGCAAAGCAAAGGATCTGGGAGGGAGCATGTGTGTATTTTTTTTTATTTTAACCAAAGGAACTCCGCCTTGAAGGCACAAACCTGCTGCTGTCACATATAAACAATATGGGAAGATTTGATGAACTGACATCAACAAAGCTTGTGCAAGAATATTCAAAACTACAGTGGCTTCTTTTTATTACCTTTTCAAGACTGTGGAACAAAAATAGGAAGTGAGATATAGAAGTACTCAATTAATGACCTTTTTAAGATGATAAAAGCTGGAAGCCTGTGTCCCATGTGATTCATAATTACACAGAACTGCAAGAAAAGCTCTGTGCTGGATGCACACACATGTGGGCACTGGAAACTGGCTGCTGTGTGAATTCTATTGTCAGTGTCCTTGGCTCTTCCTGAAGGCAGTTCCTTGAGCTCACAATGATCAGAAATGAACCAACACAAAATAACACAACAATCTTGGCCAGCTAGTAATTAAATATCAGCTCTTGGCTCAAAAGTATGTAAATGTGACTTCAGGGCCTCTGCTTATGCCTGCTTCGCCCTGCCCTAATCCTCCCACTGACAACGCTGATCAGTCAAGGAGGCCCTGCCAGGTCCCGTTTCTGGGGACTATTCTAAGAAAGATTGTTAACCCCTTCTCTAAAGCAGATCCAGATCAGAGGGATCCCTCTTTGAGGCTCCATGGCTTAAGTAGATGAATGGCTGATGCTTAAGTTCGGCCTTTACTTCTCTAAAGAGGGAGAAAATGAAGGAGGAATGCTGGGAGACAGATGCAGTGGGTCAGGATGCGAGTGCGACGGGTGGCAGCGCAGGATGTGTGGCAAATAACCGGGATGGATTCATAAGGAGCTAAGGCTTGTAATGCTGTCAGAAGCCAAATGGACATTTTTCAGTGGGCTGTGAGAAGGCAAGGGGCCAAAACAAGAATGGGAGCTTTTTACATTTCCCAGAAGGCCAATCATTGAGTGCCAGAGCAGAGAGCTCCATGTTTACAGGCCAGTTTAAGTTTGCTGATGGTCCTTATGCATGGAAATTATTAATGGGAAAAAGGTTCTTTCAGGTGGTGAGTATTAGAAATAACTAATCATAACTTTAATGTTGGCAAATGGATGCATACATTTGCATCTCTATGAATTCATGAATAAGCTAAAACTTTAAAAATCATATTGTATAAATAGATTAGATAAAATGTATATATTCCAAGCACTTTTTTGTTATTATGATTTTAACTTACAATAAGGAAAGTTAAAATTTTAACCCACATGTAAACGTATCTATGTATGGTGGCCATTAAAACACAGCCACAAATCAACCATTATGTTCTGACTTGGCTTTGCTTCACAACGCTCTCCAGGAAGCTATGATTGTCGACTGTTCATTTATTTCTACTGGACATTTTTCTTTCACTAAACTTTCCATTAACACGCTCAAATAGAACCTTTTTTTTTAACAGTACAGTAAATTTTGTCACTGGACTTTCTCCTGTTCCAACATTATAGACAATATACTGTATGTTTTAATTTGATAGGTTTTACATTGATTCTGGTTTGGAAAAAGTTTTCTTTTCTAAGTTTATTTTGTAATTATCTTATTTCTATGAATTATTATGCTTTTTGTCAGAATATACATGTAATTCTGTTCTTTGTCTGATATTTTTAAATGTGAAATGATTGACGTTATGGTCTTAAGTCGTCCTTTAATAAATGTGTTTTCACTCTTACTTGAAGGATTTCTTGGATGAATACTTTTACTGGAGTACATTTTCTGGGTACTCTCCCTACCTATGAAAGTATTCCCCAGTGAGCAGGAAATAAAATGGTCATAACATAACATTTCTGCATTCATATATTTTTTAAATTAGACTTGCATAATATAGTAATTATCTGGGAAACTCTGGCTTCTTTTCACAGGCCCAAAAAATGACATGAAACTATATCAGCATTATTTTTAAATCAAACTAAGTAATGGATTTCATCAATACAATTATAGATAAACAAAATTTACTTAGATAAATGAAGCACGGTCAAACCTGAAGCTCACAACTGGCTAAAAATGTCCAGGTCTCTATGCGTACCTCCTAAATCTCTGTAGAACACTAAGCAGTCATTCAAAGTGGGGCTGTGCACAAACACCAGCTGGCATTTTGGCCAATTTGTACTGTGATTGGAACTGAGGAGCCCCCTGTCACCGGCAAGGAGGGATTTATCAATCACAGTATTTCTGGTTGCAGGGTTTGCTCACTTTGGCCTGGCAGAGCCTCTCTAAAAATACGGAGGGATGTAATAAAACAGCAGAGAGGATGGAGATGGAAAGGAGTGTGTGAAAAATGTTTGCAGAGAGAAGTAAAGAAGATGAGCAAGGAAAATGAGAGGAAGGAAGACTGATTGTATCAAGGAGAAAATGCTTAGGTAAATGAGTGAAAAGGACAGACAAACGCAGATGTGACCTTAGAGAAAATACCAAATGGGCCTGCTTTTAATACAAGACACCTCTGACTGAAGAAGTGAACCAAGTCATTTAAAGCTTTGTGTAGTAACCATGAAAAATATGCATGCATAACCTTGTGACACATGCAAGACATTGCATCAAAGACTTTCTGATGTTGTGGTTGATCTGTAACCAGTTCAGAGTTATGCATCAAACACAAATAGCTCTAAGACGTAATTAATTGTCCTCACATATGTATGCCTGCTTTTCTGCATCCACATACACTATTCACAGCAACTTTCAGCACATCTGGAGCAGAAACCATGCAGCATTTCGCTGCAATGTGCTGTATGCACTGAGGAAAAAAAATGCTAATGATGCAGATCCATTGTTTAGCTTAGAAACCTCATTTGGATAAATTTACTGCACAAAAAAAAAAGATGCAATCCTCAACACTGAGGAAGACAGAAATCCACTAACTTTTTTTTTCAACTATCTTAATAATGTTCCCCTCTAACACCTCTTTATTGACTCCCTCTGTTTCCAGCTGTTTGAGATCTATATACCAACAACGCATCAGCAGAGGCACAGAAGATATGTTTTGATCACCGAAAAGCTTGGGATGTGTTCTTCAACTTCGCCTCAAGTAGCTTATTGAATGCCTCTTTAGATAAATCTGTCCAAAAGATAAAAGGAACATGTTCAGACACATTAATGATTAGTTGCTAATTACTGATCAAACAAAACATGCTGTGACTAGCAAGCACTGCACTAATGAAGTCTCTTGATTACAGAGTGATCAATAAGTTGCAGAAGAGTGTTTATTAAACCAGAGATATGTGTTGGGAAGAGCACTGTCAGAATAAATGGTTGGATGAAAGATATGATCTATTATGGACACATCAAAATATTTACATTTTCCTCTCAATGCTGAAAAATTAACTAAAATGCCCTTTCAAAAACCAACAGTTATGACCAGAATACATCCTAAGATGTCATAGGCCCTAATAAATCAGACCACCTTCTCTGTGTTTTATTTTCTTGTATTCTCTTTGACCAGAGTTCCACATTTGATTTGAAGTGTATTGATTCAAGCTGGAAATTGTGACATGCATATGCACTTCAAGAATGAGCATGGGCAAAAATGGAAATGCATTTTCACAATCTAGGTCATAATTTACAAACCCCAAGTTGGTGTAAATTTTGAATTTACACCAAATTGTAAATTGAACTGGAAGGGACCTGGACTTCACAAACTTGCTACCTGTGCACAATGGACTTTACTAGTGCTGCCTCTTGTCATTGACCCAGTGTTGTGGTGTTGATGGACAGGATCTCAGGCCATGGTGGTGATAAAAAAATAAATTAATAAATAACCCCAGTTATGAACAGAGCCATGTCTAAGGCAATGGTTGTCAAGTGGAAAAAGGTGGATTGCTTTCTCCAAGTTTGATGACAGCTTCTTTCTTAAGAGAAGAAGTTAAAAGTATTTTGCTGTACTCTTAGGTAGAGATGGAGGGATGGAGTAGGAATTGAACTATTTAAATCTGCTGAGGTAAAGAAAGAGCAACGGTCTGGATTTACCAGCATATGTGAATCATGATTTAAACAGATTTGAGCAAAATATATTAGTTGCTTTTAAGTAAACACATGTTCCACAGAATACTATAACTGTTTGCTACTCTGTTCTTTTTAAAATAAGAGGAATGACAAACTGATGAGACATGCAGCTGGAGCTTACTAAACTGTAGCTATAAGTGAGCATAATTACTCACCCTCCTTTAGTGTGGAAGCTATGACCCTTTTTTTTATGAGGGTAGACATTTCCAAATTGGACAACTTTGTTTTTAGCCAGCCAGTCAGCAGCAATAGGTGGGGGAGTTTCAGTCCTGCATTATCTTACACTCAACCAGTCCAGCAATTTATCTGCCGTTAAATTGCAACAGAATATTTGATATAGTCTGAAAGACATCATTAGATCCCAACAATGTATCACATTAAATAGTCATCACTTAATGTTGGAGCCTATGAAAAAAGAAGATTAAGAGGAAAAGACAAAAATGCTGTCATGGATAAACTACGAACACAATGTCACTTTGTGGCTGAACCTTTCCAACTTGAAAATGTTTTATGGAGTGTCGTTAAAAAAAAATTCATAAAAATTTCCAAGTCTTTCTTTGAATAATATTTCTTGAATAAAATTCCCTGGCAAATTTTTACCACTGTTTGACTTTCCTCTGCAGCTCGTGATTCTTTCACTAGGCTGAGTGGAAAGATCTCAGCAATTGTGCAGGCTTGCAGCTCAATTGACTTCAAATCGTTGCATATGTATAGGGGAGAGTTCTGAATAATGCATTGGGAGTTGGATACATTGGGTGGTGTTGGAGCTTTCTCTGTCACACAGAGAAGCAATCTTTGATGTGAATCTAAGACCTTCACTGTGTAAGAAAATAAATAAAAAATACAGCAGTGGGAGTTTTACAGAGTCAGCTGACTGTTTTGAATGCTTGCGTTTGTAGGATAATAGAGTTAAAAAGCCCTGGATGACTGTACATCTTCAAAGGAGAGTTATGAGAGAAGGAGAGAGTCACTGCACAGGAATGGCCATATGATAATATAATCTATAACACAGGAGTTATGTAGGCAAAACAAGTCAACGCAGCAACCACATTCAGCTGAAACAACTGAAAGAAATCCATGTTGATTCCCTCACCTGAGAGAGTTTTTGATGTTGTGGTTGATTTGTAACCAGGTTGGTATTTAAATATCATGTTTATGCATCTGATTCTGTTTTTTTTTTCTTTTTTTTGTTTGACACACTATTGATCTTTCAGCCAGCACTGCACAGCTAGTGGAAAGTCAAGGTAGGACAGTGACATCCTCATTCAAGTTTAATAAACACTATTTTTTATATTCACTAGATATGAAACATTATTACTTTTAAAAAACATCTATATATATATAAAAAAAAAGAAAAACTGTCTTTTCGCTTTGATTTAACAAACAGAGAGCAAGTGAGAGTGTAGACGAGAAGAGATCATTGGGAAATATGCAAATATAGATATGAATACAGATCAGGCTTTTCCTCGGCAGGAGACGAATACATTTACCTCTCATCTACATGCTGATGAACAACAATAGGGGGCTTTTTTAGGTTTTGGCTCTGTAGGGTATATAACACTTTCATAAAGCTTTTATGGTCAGCTGTTTGAAATGAAAACAAGCAGAGGGATGAAAAAGCAACATAATTATATTTTGTGTTCAAGTTCAAATGCTGAAGTTTACACATCATTTGCTGTGGCACTTCTCACTAGGTAACTAATTTCTTATGCATTTATATGGCTGCTTGTTGCAAAAAGAGCAATAAGGATTACTGGGTAATTCAACATTTGACAGGAGAAAAACTGAGTAAAGGCATTTGGCATTATGCTGGAAAATGTGTGGATAATAAAACCAAAAGGGTCATGAAACGCATCTTTAACTGAAAGTTTATTAGTACAAGTGAAACCATAACTGTGCCAGGAGTGTCCCATGATTTTATGTTATTTTTGAACAATTATGTACTTTTAAGACTCTCTGCTTGCACCCAGATGCTTTACTCAAAACCAGTACAGTTTTTATTGCTAATCTTTTTTATGCAGTTTTTCTTAGTCAGGTAATCTATTGTTTGTTTTTCTTGCTGCGATGCGAGAAAACCATATCCAACGCTTGGCACAACAGTCCCCAGACTTCCTTTAAGCATCAGGAGTGCTTTCATGGGAAATAGTTAGAGGTTTATAGTCCTAAAGTGGAGCGAGTGCTCCCCCATCCCCTATGGCACGAACCTACTATATCTTTTTAATGAGACTCAGAGCTGCAGGCCTCCAGGCAAGTGGCTGAAGGCGATGTAGTTTTCTAGAAACCAACTTGACATATGCGCAGTGATGGCTTTGAAATGAGCTGTGACAAGAGCCACTCGCTATTGAGAAGAGCATCTGAATTAACAGACAGCATTCTCTTTACATTTATATTAGCTGAGCAAAGGTATTTGAGTTATTTTGAGTGCACAGCGCATTTAATCCCTCAAGCTCCAGGGATTCTATGCAAGAGTCAGTAAGTGTTTCATCAACATGTGGTGTGGGCAAAGAAATACAAAACAGTTGCTGGGAATCGTACTTTTGTGACCATGTCATGCTATTACACATGTAGGCAATAAAAATGTTTTTACCCCAATTGTAACCTAAAGTTGCCAGTGGTTAAACTATTATTTTGTAATACCAATTAACACCAACAGGTTGTACTAGGGACATTACAAATCAGGGGGATGAACCCACAACTCAGATATTTTTAAATGATAAATATTCAGTTATATTCAATTCCTGACCACTGGTATTTATTTGGTATGCTACATAAACATAATATGTTTAAGTGGACAGTTTTTAGAAATCTTGCATAATTTTAATGTGAACTTTGGTCGAAAAACTGCAGTGGAAATCATTTTGTGAAACAGTTGAAACTGTTTCCCCACACAAACAATTCAAAAATGTATGTATTTAAGTAAAAATTAAAACATTATTACAGTTATTCATCAATACTAGTGGTAACATAAGAGCAGTAAAGACATCAGTGTGAATTTGGCAACATGGTTAAATTCGATTGTTCAATTTAAAGGTCGCCTAGCATCCAAAAAGAAAAAACTATATCAGAAAAAACTAACATTACTGCCATATGTTTATCAATTAGTTAATATTCTCTCTAAATCATCAAGGTATTTATCAACCTAGCAAGAACTTGTACACCTGTCCAAGTCAAAATCAGGGAGCATTTCAGCTTTTACAAACTTTAGAAAGGGTCAAAACAGAAGAAACAACCTTTGTAAGTAAGCATGTATTTTTGAGTGTCAGAATTGAAAGGCGGACCTAAATGGTTTCAAAATAACAAGCAAAGTGATAAAAATTACTTTCCAACACAATGTCTACCTCTTGTGTGTGACAAGGGCTGCTCCAGGAGAGTCAATTCAGGCTTGATGTGCTGTCACAGTGAAACACGTTTTTTCTGAGTGCTACTCCAAACAGCTGAATGAAAAAACAAAAACATGACCCTTGAGAAAATGTAGCTCTGTTCAACCATATGCCTTAGCATCTGTGGAAGAAGATAAATGCCTCTCTTTATAGCTGAATAAATATAATGACCAGTGAGCTCTTGACTTCAGAAGGACCAATTCATTTTGTTTTCATTTAGTCTTCTGAAAATGAATCTCCATTCCTTAGTTGAAAACCAACAGCCAAATAAGGCTAAAAAAAAATACTCACACGTTTATGCCACACTTCTGCCAAGATGGAAGTCAACATTTCATGGTGCGATTCCTATTGGTTCCAAGTGTTGGGAACCAGGGTTTTTGGTTTTCTTTGAGGGTTTTTTTTCTGTTCGCCTGCTGCTTCATCCTTCATCCAGCAGAGAGAAGGACCTCGCTGTAGCAAACAGAAAGGGGCCAGGATAGACCACTGTCAGTCTCACCTTACTTGGAAATGGGACCATTGCTCTCCGGAAGTGAAGAGGGCGTTATTTCCTATACTATCCGTGGTTTCCCTTGAGATATGTCTTCACCTTTAGGAAGGATTTTCATTCTCATCTGAATTTGAACTTCTCTCTCTTATTTACTTCAGTGCGGCTCACAATTTTTCACAAATTCGGTAGCTTTCGGTGTACTTCTAAATCTGCTCCTTCGTGGCAGAGGATCCAGGCGATCCGAAGAGATGACGGGGATAAAGACGGGGAGCGCTTTCGTATGTAGCCGCCACTTCACACCGGAGGATTTTGTTAGCGGATCCACCACCAGCCTCCTTAAAAGTGGAGCTGTTCCTTCCCTGTAACTTCAGTGCACCAGTAATGAGAGAGTCTGCTTTCGAGAGGGCTAAGAAACGGCAGTTTGTCCTCTCTTAGAAAGCTAGCCAGGCTGAAGATGCTACTGCGGACCATGACTACACGGCACCACCCGAAGGGGCTGGGGCGGTTGTGCGCATGCGCGGGGCCGGGGGCGGTTGTGCGCATGCGCGGGGCCCGGGCGGTTGTGCGCATGCGCGGGGCCGGGGCGGTTGTGCGCATGCGCGGGGTTCACGCTTCCGGTTTTTTTTAAAGCGGATGTGGAATTGGATAACTTCCGGTAGCTATAGCGTTAGCATTAAAAGGCTAGGAAAATGGCTCTGTCTCGGCGCAGTTGCTTTTGTTCAGTCCCTGGTTGTTCATGCGGGGCAAGAAAACAGCCTTATCTGTCATATCATGCGTTCCCGACGGACCCGGACCAACGGAGGCAGTGGATCCAGGCGATACTAAGAGATGAAAGTCCGGACTTTTGCATAAAGACGGGGAGCACTTTCGTATGTAGCTGCCGCTTCACACCGGAGGATTTTGTTAGCGGATCCACCACCAGCCGCCTTAAAAGTGGAACTGTTCCTTCCCTGTTTGCCTGGAATAACTTCAGTGCACCTGTAATGAGAGAGTCTGCTATCGAGAGGGCTAAGAAACGGCAGTTTGTCCTCTCTTAGAAAGCTAGCCAGGCTGAAGATGCTACTGTGGACCATGACTACACGGCACATCCACCCGCAGGTAAAAGATATTGTATTGTATATATTTTCCATGTAAGATAATTTCAGTAAAATATAACTGTTGCTTTAATAATATGATTATTATTATTATTATCACACAATAATGAAAATATGAGATTATGTGGTTGTGTATTTTGTGGAGAGATTAAGTCAATGGCTGTCTACATACATGCTCCGACTCACAACATGTATTGATCTTAACATAAGTAATGTTTCAAATATATAATTAAAACTTATTGCTAACCGTATGTTTTGGTAATTTATTTTGTGGTTTTACAGGTGCACTTGATGAAGCTCTGGATTATATTAAGGAGCTGGAGGCCAGACTTCAAAAAGTGGATTTGTCTGCCACACTTTTTAGCCGCTACTGTGCCTCTGATGACCAGATCCGGTTCTACACCAAATTTCCATTTGAATGTGTGTTCCGGATCTTCTGGGAGTCCATTGCACCCTCTGCATCATGCCTGGTGTTCTGGACCAGAGGACAGAAACTTGGAGAGGAAGCATGTGCTGAAGCCAGCCCTGCCTGCTGCATGCCTCTGATTGATGAGTTCCTGATGTTCTCATTCAGGGTTGCAGTGGGCACGAAGGAGCAGCTCATTGCTGACATGTTTCAAGTCAGCATAGCTACTGTCAACCGAGTGACCATCACCTGGGCCAACTACCTCTTCATTGTGTTCTCTTCCATCAACCTGTGGATTAGTCGTGAGAAGGTAAAAGCAAGTATTCCTCAGAAATGTCTGTCTCCAAATGTCCGTGTCATCTTGGACTGCACAGAAGTTGCTCTGGAAACGCCATCATCCCTCACCTTACAGTCTGAAACGTTCTCTGCCTACAAGAACCACACCACTCTGAAAGGGCTGATTGGATTTGCTCCCTGTGGGTTGGTGACATTTCAACGTTGTACACAGGCTGCATCTCCGACAAAGAAATAACAAAGGTCAGTGGAATCCTTCCTCTGCTTGAGCTGGGAGATGAAGTCGTGGCAGATAAAGGCTTCCTCATTCAAGACCTCCTTCATGAAGTTGGAGCCAAACTCATCATTCCACCATTTAGGCATCCTGGTCAGTTCAGCAAGGAAGAGACAGAGGAGACCCAGACCATTGCTCGGCTGCAATGGATCATTGTAGAGCGAGCAATCGCTAGAGTAAAGTGCTACCACATCTGGGATTCCCCGGTGCCTCTCACTTTAATAGGAACTGTCAATCAAATCTGGCACAACTGTTGTGTTTTGGCAAATTATCAAGGCCCATTTTATGTTGCAGACTAAATTATTTCTGTATGTTAATTGTTGTAATGCTATGTAAAAAGTTAGTAGTCTAGACTTTTGCAAAAAATATTCAGTTAAAACACACTTTGGCACTTGACTTTCTTTTTGTATTAAGTTGAATTGCAAGGAAAACAAATCAAGTACAATTTACAATATCTAGTAAAAACAAAAAAAATCCATAACTATTTCATATTTTATTATTGTACACCATACATTGACTTGAAGAAAAATACTTAAGACGACCTCAAGGAGAAAAATTTCAAAACATAAGTTTCAAGACAACTGCAGTTAAGAAAACAAATTTTTGTAAAGTATCCAACTGCCTTTTAAAGACATTTGCACATCTCTGTATGTTTCATGAGTAACAACTATTTACAGTGATTCACACAGCTTGAGATTGGATATTTGAAATGCAAAGGAACAAAAGGGCTTGTTACACATTTTATAATTCTTATTGCATTGACATGAACACATCAATGAAGGTGTTGGAAGTAAAATAAGTCCAGTTTAGATTTCCTTTGATCAATGAAAGCCTCATCAACAGTTATTGTTGTTAGCATGTCTGGAACAAAGTTGCACCATTCAATCCGCTGATTGCCAGCTGACCCTGTACCTGCCAGTAGTAGGCGTGTGAACGACTCAAAACTGAGTGGTCATCCTGGACCTTGAAGTGAGCAACCTGTTCCCCATTCCTCAATCTGCTTTTTACCTCAACCAGTTCAAACGGGGGTGATTCTAAAAGGACTTATGTGATACACTTTACCATCTGGAGTTGCATCAAGATATGATGTGTCGGGGCGAACAATGAATCCCACAGGAATCCTCAACATCCCAGCATAGTTTGCCAGCACCTCAGACTCCACCTGCAGACCACACCTCATGGCGGCAGTTTGTCTAGTGGAGCCCCTAATCATCCGAGATGCCAGTGCTGTGGCAGCAGACTCCTCCTCTGCACTTCCTCTGCAAGCATCACGGAAACGGCTAGCAGTAAGTCTTGGTTGTCCAAGATGTACCCATGCAGGACATCTGGACTGCTCTCTTGTTCTGGGTTCTATTTAGATAAGACATTTCCAATGACACTTGCAGAGAATGAAGATGCATAAGTTGACCAAGTGTGGGCACAAAGCACATATTTGGAAGACTATGCAGCATCAAAGGAAGAGAAGGGAAGTCTGGAGCCATGTGGTGCAGAATGATGCTACCAGAGGACTTTTCAGGTGGGCACTGATAAGACCATCTAGGACAAGAGCGATAAGTGGTTGGGACTCCAGCTGGCGTAGTTTTTCTCCTGATGCCAGAATGTCGGGATCTGGAAGTGGTCCTACAAACATCAGTGACATAATCATAATAAATTTTGACAAAGAAAACATACGTGTAAAAACAAACCAAACGTTATACCTGTGTAAGATCTGTAAAGTGTGGAGTGCAGATATATTTTCCCCATAGTTTTGGGCTTCTGCACCACCGTGTTGCTGACAGGTTCAGGATGTTTCCCCTTACAAGAAATACACAGAAAGATGTCAAACTAAAGAACAAATAAATGGATGAGAGAGCAATTTGTTAGGACATAATGGGACTGATTTGGCACAGTTTAGATTTTTACCCAACTTGCAAATAAATTAATTGATAGCAGTTGAGCCTGTTTTTTTTTTCATTGCCTACAAAAAAGAAATATTCCAAACTATGAGAGAAATTATATTTGACACAAGTAATATTGAGATTACAACAAATTTTACATGGCGATTATAAAATACAGGTGGGAAAGGAACGTAAATGGCAGTTTTTCGTGGAAGAACTTGTATTTTGTTGGTGGATGAATTAGCCGCTGCGATTTCCTCCGCATCAGCAAAAGAAAGGGCTGGCAAATTAAGTAAGGATGATGAAAAGGACCGGAGGAGGAGAGCCAGTTTCAGAGTACTAGAATTACAGTCACCAAAACAGGAAGTGCCGCAGCCCTTTCAGATACAGTTTCCGGTTGCCGTGAAAAAGGTCTATTACAAAAAAGATCAAAATGTTAAAATGTATTAATGACTGTATTCATAAAACTCACTGAAATATGACTTGCATTAATTGACGCAGTTTTAATGCTGAAATACTCTAAATATGTTGGAATATAATTATTTCTGGACAGACGCATCAACTGACAAAGTTCACAACATTTACAGTTTTGGGAGCAAACACATAAAATTTATGTCTAGAGTTATTATATCCACTGGTGAAATTCTTTTCTTCAAAATTTCTGGAGTTTGGTTCGGAATGCTGGATATAAACTTCTGGGCAAAGGCTTGATGAATGGCAACCTATTCTTAGCTTAATATCCCGCAGAGTTAATTACAAACTGCTGGCTTTTGCTGACCCAAGTCTTTTTTAGAAATGACCTCAGGTTCTGAATTTAATTAAGATCTGGGAAGCCTGTTGACCACAACTGTAACATTCCAATTTGATTATTATTGAGCCACTTCTTTATGAATTAATCTTTTTTTACCATGGGACCCCATCATGAGTAAAAAACAGATAATATCTAAATTTTACTGA